CTTGACTGGTCTCATCCCTCTCCGCCCGTGTCTCCCCTCCCCACCCAGTCAGTCCTTATCACACGCGTGACATCACTGACTACATTCTCCCTGCCCGCCCTGCCCAGTTACTCCTTATGCGCATGTGCGCAACATCACTGCCCACATTTTCCCACCCACTGCCATTGCTTCCTGCAGCAACCTGTGCTCCAGTCAGCCAGCCAGACCAACCCGGCCAGCCAGCCAGCCAACCAACCAGGCCAGCCAGCCAACCAACCAGGCCAACTAACCAGCCAACCAAGCCAGCCATCTCTGCCTACCTTCTGCCGCCCGCAGCCCTGCCTGATCTGGGTGAGTGAGGGGTCTGCAAGCCTCCGCCACCACCACTGCCAGCCCTGGTCAAGTGCTGACTCCCGGGCCACTCAGACACCCTCACGGCCTGCCTCACCTAGCATTTTCTCCCAGTAGCAGCCCACCATTGCTGCCTGGCTTTCCACCACTGATCGGTGAGTGAGGAGGCAAGCAGCAAGCCCCACCGGTTGCCTACCTCATCCTGCCACCACTGCTGCCATTCCCGGTCGAGTGGTGACTCCTGGGCTACCCAGCCGCCCTCTTTTTAATATTTTTTTAGTATATGTTTTTTTGTTATTAATCATAAAAACAAAACAGATACCAAAAAACATAAATAAATGCATAATTTTTTGTTATAATACTATTATTGTTACATGTTGACACTTATGTTTTTCCTTTGCTTTTTCCTAATAGGAAAAGCAAAGAAGAAACGAACAGAAGTATCAACATGTAACAATAATCATAAAATAAATTTTATTTATGTATTTATTTCTTTGTTTAGTATTTGTTTTGTTTTTATGAATAAATAGTATTGTATTGTCAGGCAGGACACATCATTTAGGAAAAAGCAAAGGAATAACAAACAGAAGTATCAACATGTAACAATAACAGTAGTAACAAAATAATATTAACTAAATTTCTCTTTGTATTGGCTTATTTATAATTCTGTTAATTATATCAACATGTTTATAATTATCAACCCTCTTTTTATTCATACATAACAATGATTGTTCTTACCTCTTATCTCTATCTATTTCTGCACATTGTAATATTTTTTTAATTTCATTTTCATCTATAGGGATCTCTTCATTTTTCCACTGTTGTGCAAACATAATTCTAGCTGCTGTTAACACGTGTAAAATTAAATGTGTATTGTATTCCCTTTAAGTGGGTACCAACAAAAATATTTCAGATTTTAAAATTTAAATATATATGTTACCATTTTTCTAACTTCGACACTACATACTCTTGAATAGCTACTTGAGTTGACTACAAGCAGAACCCAATACAAACCTAATTCATATATTCTATTTTTTTAAACTGGGGAATAAATTCCAGAAAAATAATTCAGTATTGCTCTGTGAATGTTCCTATGAATTTCATTCTTAATCTAATTCCTTAGATGATTTTGTACTATATATACCTGCATAAGACTGGAAAAAGTTTCAGTACATTTCTAAGATGAAAAGTCTAAAAAGCTTAGGCGACTAAACATGGCTTCCCGTGGCTTCTCTCTCTGTGCTATAGAGAGAGTATTCCATTAGGGACTGTTGGTCCAGGTAAGTAGTCTTGGCTAGGAAAGATTTTTGTGCCACTATTGCCAGAAATATTTTCACAGACACCTAATCAGAGACTCATTATTAACTAATTGGAAGAAATTACGGAAAAAACACTATTTAAAAATACCAATTTGGATTTCAACAATGGAGGCGATGATTCACCCAAATAATCTGGATATCACTAAAATGATTAAATATAAGGACCTATTGGATACACAAGGAAATTTGAAATCACGGCAAGAACTTCAAGAGCGGGGACTAAAAATTGATCAGTGGGGATATCTTCAAATTCAAAGTAGATATAAACAGGACAAGAAAGAATTTGGAATTAACAATAAACTCCAGCAATTAGATAAAATTTTATTAGGATCAGGCAAAAAAAATATAACAAAATTTTATAATTATTTATTAGAAGTAGAATTAGAAGAAGAAATTGTAAAAGGGAACATGATAGCCTGGAGTAGGAATGTAGGACGTAGCATCACCATAACAGAATGGGAAAAGGTCTGGGGTAGAAATAATAAAATTACAAAATCGGTAGCATACAAAGAAAACGCCTATAAAATGTTTTATAGATGGCACCTTCCTCCTTCGAGATTAGCGAAGATGCACCCCAATATGAGTCCGAATTGCTGGAAATGCAAAAAAAAAAAAAAGAGGGAACTTTTTTCCATATGTGGTGGTCCTGTACAGAAGCTCAAAAATATTGGCAGAAAATTAGAAATTGGCTGGAAGAAATGACAACAGATCAAATTCAAAGTCCTTTCTGTTAGGGATCTTTGATAAACCAATATCAAAAAAAGTGAAATATATAATAATACACATTTTGACAGAGGCCAGATTGGCTTTTGCACAATGTTGGAAGCAGCCTCATGTTCCATCAGAGGAGATGATCATTCAAAAAATTTCAAGTTGTGCAGAAATGGACAAATTAACTTTGGCATTAAAAAATAAAGACACTTCAATATACTACAACAGCTGGAACTGCTGGTACAAATGGATAGACCAAAGATAGACTTCACACTAAAAGGCAAAAGAGGATAGGATAAATCCATAGTAGTGATACACAGATATATGTAAGGAATAAGTGTGTGTAAATGGCATAAAATAAGGATAAAAAAGAGGTTTTACAAACTGTTGAAGATGAGAATGTTTTTAATTGTTTTCTATTTTTTTCTTTCTATTTTCTTCTCCCTTTCTTCTTTTTCTCTCTTTCATTTATGTATGTGTTGTTGGTTTGTTTTAATTGTAAAATCAATAAAATTTATTTTAAAAATAATGTGACAATTTGCCAGTATTTACTTCTATTAAATTTAATTCAGCTATCTAATTCAATTCTAATTATCTTTTCAATTTAATTCAGCTATCTAATTCAATTTCCAATTAAAATGTGTGTATGTGTGTGTAAATAATCTGTGAATAAATTAATTCAGTGATCATCTTTAATTATCATAGGATCTGAATATTTGTGCTGGTCCTCCCATTTTGTGCTAATGCCATTATAATAAAAAGAAATAAAGAACGTGAAAGGGGACACCCATACTTGAGGTCTCTATTAATTTGAAAGATGGATATTAACAGTAGAAAAAAAGCAATAATTCATATTCATTACCATATTATCATATGAAACTTATCAGAAATTATAAGCTAAAGAAGGAATCCTTCAAACCTTTGCACATCTTAGAAATTGCTCATGACTGGAGAGTGCTTTTACAACAACATTGAAATGGTGCTTACTTGTTTTGTAAATAAAATATTGAATGAAGGGATGGTCTCTATCTGTTGTAAATAATGACAGAAAAAAATGAAGAAAAACAATGCACGACTGTTTCCTTTTCACTGAAATATTTGTATGAAAGACTCAGACAGATGCAGTAACTTTTCCAAGCTCTGCATTGCTAAGATATTTTTCTTCATTATTTCTTTAAAATACTATTTTCAATACCTGTGAGCCTTATGACTGATAAAATATAGACAAATAGGACAACATTTAAAATCCCTTACCCCATAAACACTAAATTGAAAAGATGGACAAGGAAACTGTTTTAGAACTAGAATTCATGGATCATAATCAAATGTCCTAATAATGAAACTGTACATGGAAGTTAAGCTAGTGAAAATGGTTTTGTATAAAAAGAAAGGGACACAGTGTACATTTCCAAAAGTCTGGCACAAGAAGAATAAGGAAATCAAATTAACAACACTCATGGGACTTGCTTGTACATGAAATGTTTTATTCCACACAAAAATAGGAAGAGTTAGGGCAGCCTTTTTGAAAATGGAAACTCGTCATACGTGATGTATACCATACAGTGACCTGCTAGCTCGGGCTGAAACACTGATGAGAATGGTTGATTCAATAGGTTTTTTTTTCAGAACTGCAAGTTCTCTTATCATATGATTTCTTATGTAATACAAAGGCACATAAGGAATCTATAAATTTGGGATACTAACATTTTGTAGAAACGAAACTATATGGTGGATAGAAAAAGGAAGGGGAAACATATATAAGTGAATGCAAACAGACTGTGTCTATTAACCAGAAAACATTTGACTTTTTGAAAGAATTTTGTTGTTCTTAGCAATTTATACACCTCATTCATTGCCCACAATATAAAAGAGCAACATTTTAGAATGTTTACAACCTTTCTTCTCTTTTTTGTTCATTATTCTGTTCATCATTCTCAATATTTTCCACTGCACACGTGTTGTATTTGTACACTCTTCCCTTGGATATTGGCATGCAAATTATATGATAAGCAAATCGAGAACTGAGAATTGAGAAATGAGCTGGCATTTTGAGATGATCCTATTGCCCCCATCCAGACTACTGTTCAACCAATTGGGAGAAAACAATTGGTGCATCCAAGCCACAGGACCCTCCAAAATATCAATAGATTTTGAAGACAGCATAACATTAATTAGAAATTAATCCTTGGTATTGCTTGGGGTAGGCTACTGCAGAATAGAAAATGGAAAAAATGGAGTGGGGGAAACAGTTCTGGAGTCTAGGTATGTGTCAAAATGAGCAAGATTGCAGGCACAATTTTGTTATGCCAACCTGCTGTCTTTTACATATGTATTCATAAGTACACAAATGGGTCACAGCTCTCATTGTGACACTCGGTGAACTACTGCTAGTAGTGTATATGATTATCAACACTGCACTGTTTTTATTCATAGCACACAAAGATTATTTCAGAGTGACAAAAGGAAGAGGGGAAAAGCATTCATTTTTTTAATTCTTCCTTTGTGGCTCTCATTTCTCTCACACTTAAGAACTATTTGCCTTCACTTAATAATGCAATGCTATTTTGCTGTAGGTGTAAGTTGGTGCCAGTTGATTGGAAAACGTTTGGAGAGAAAAGAGATTTAAATGTTGGGATCCCATCATGGCAACTTTGCTTTGCTACTTTCTGGCTTCAGAGTTCCAACCCTGTAAAGAACCAGCCTAAGAGGCCTCGGAAGAACTTTGACCTGGGATGATCACATTCTCTGCTTTGGCTTTAAAGTCAAAAGGCCCATAAACTCCTGAAATGTCTGCCATTAGCTCAAAGGAATTCATTCTTAAACAGACTTCCACTACAGATGGTTGCTAGATACGTTGTACCCAGTATATGACAGTGGAGTGAAAAAAAAAAGTCTATCACTTCTTATTTTTATTTATTTATTTGATTTTTATAGCTACCCAGCTGAACAATTGAGTCTGGGCAGAACACTTCTTTCCCATCTGTTGATATTGAGTTGGCATTGCCTTTTTTCATATTCTTAATTTTTAAAATATTGAACCACAGATTGGGTAGCTTCAAGGAATTCCTTCATTTTAGTTAAGCTTTGATAAAATCACACCATGGAAATAAGACTGGCAAATTGAAGGACTTTGAAATATCAAATCAAATCAAATCAATTCAAATCAAGCCTGTATTTTGTAGCTGTTTGAAGTGCTTCACAGGTTCAATGGTTTTTCTATTGCTTCTGAGGTTAAAGGTCATAAATGAATTCACAGCTTCAATTTCTTACAGGAAGGTAGCTGGGGTAGCTGAATGATGGGATGGACTTTGTGACATGAGCAGCCAGTTATTTCTATATACATTAACAAACAAGATAATATGCTGCGCAGAAAAACTATATGTTCACCTCATTGTTTTGGAGAAAGCAGGATTCATGATAGTTACCCTATTCTAATTTGTCCTCCAGTTCAAAATAACCAGATCATGTCCATTGTTTCAGGGATGAGACAGAGCCATAATTACAGATTACTTAAAAAATAAAACACCACTACCACCTTGTGGATATTAATTTTATTGCAAAGATATTTCAAGAAAATTTGGAATTATTGAAGTATCATTGTGCTTGTACTGCAACTCTGACAACGTATATTAAAATATATGTTCTGAAGATGGCGGTGCCCAACTAGGAAGGTGAGGCTCCCTCTCCCGCTGGTCAATAGATCACGAGTGGTGCTCTCACTGTTTTCCTACCCGATTGAAGTATATAATTGATCAAAAATAGATTTACAGATCATCCCCAATCAAAATAACTCTGTTAAGTTGCTGCCTACATCAATTATCACCACAAACTGACTGATCCCGTGACTGAGGGCCAGATCCCGGACTGCTGACCATCCATAAAATCCGCTGCCTAAACAGCCGCCTACACCAGTGATCACCTGTGGTCGGCTGATCCCATGACGTAGGTCCTGATCTCAGAGTGCAGTTTTTACCAAAAAGCGCTAAAATCTAGAGCCCATTGAGTGTTGTAGTGCTAGAAGCAATACATAATCAACGGCAGAGCTCCAACTGCTGTTTTCTTTTTAATGGCTGAGCACCTTCCCTGCCTTCTCCGTAGCCATACTGATTCACTTGGCAGCCTAATCGCTAATGATTGAAGACAAGAAGATCCGTGAGAAGACAGACCTGGATCTCTAAGATCACTAACTGAAGATCTGAAGTAATGAGAGAAGAGTAAGCTTCTGCCAAAAGACGTTCATCTACACTTTCAGCCGAATATATGCTCTCTTTCTGTCCCCCACCAGGAGCCATCCAAACAAAATCTTCTCCTCTTTCTGCCCTACACCGCCATTGTTCTCTTCTTGTCCTAATTTTTTTCTCAATATAACTCTGTTTAATTGATTAACTGATCTTAACTAATTGATCAATTAATTCTACAATTATTTATCATTAGTGATTAATAGATTATTATAGATTATTAGTGACTAATGGTTATTGTTTAGTTTGATTAACTGTTTTGAATATTAGTATGATTAGAATGTTTAGTGTAAATTAGTGATTAGTGCAATTAATTGACTAGTGTGTTTAGTGATTAGTGTAATTAATTATTAGGGTGATTATTGATTAGTTAAACGAATTGACTAGTGTGATTAGAATAATTGACTGTTTGGTGTGATATTGCTTTATTGATTATCATAATATCTTGTTTGATTGAACAACCCAATCAACAAATCATCTCAACAAACCCACCATGCCAGGAAAACAATCCAAGGTCAAACCACAACCTAAAAAGAAAGAAATCCCTACTAAACAACCACAAGACTTTTGCTTTTGCCTTATATATAAAGAAATTTTAAAGGAGAATGAAGATTACATCAAATGTTCTCTTTGTGACAACTATGTTCACCATAATTTCTTAGGATTACGCAAGCAAATGGCTCTATTTCTAAAATCATCCACCAATGCTTTTCCATATTTCTGTCCACTCTGCAGATCCAAACTAGACAAATACATTGCCGTTTGAAAGAGTTGATACCATAGAAACATGTATAACATCCTTTAACATCATTCTAGCATCCCTGGATACTATACAAGCAAGATTAACCTTGAAAAAAAAAAGATACAACACAAAAAAATGAACATCAAACAACTACAAACCATATCTCTACCCAACAACCGCAACCAAAACCCAATCCACAAAAAAACACAAATCCTATAAATATTGATATCCCCATCCTCATCAAAGAAGCCATTTAGTGTGAACAGAAGTGACCAAATGCCATCTTATTTGGTCTAGAGGTCAACGACAATGATGACATCACTAACGTCTGCAACATCATCAGAGACTATGAAGCATCAACCATCTCCCCTGATGAAATACTTGATATTTCCCACGTCAGTCCAGAGCTCAAAAACAAAGATGACTTGATGGCCCCAAGCTTCTGCAGGGTCGTTTGCAAAAATGAATCCAACAAACGTAAATTCATTTTTTCAATAAATTAACTTGTAAAGAGCAACAACCATAAGAACCTTCGTTCTTGCCCTGATCTAACCTTACAGCAATGTATACGATCCCGTGAACTACGCACTGAGTTCAAAAGACTACATGAATTAGGTAACACTAATCTATAGATTGATTACCATACAGATTGTGTCAAAAGCAAGAGCCACAATCTACATCCCAATAACCATCACCCAAATATCCAACATTAGGGATGCACGCCCCTTACTTCCTCCAGACTCACTACTTCATATCTTAAATGCAAACTACTCAATGCAAGAAGCCTCGCAAATAATATGTATGAATTCCTCATCTTACTAAGCACAGCCACATTTGACATTATATTTGTCTGTGAGACGTGGTTGAATGCCTCTTTCCCAGACTCCATTACCACTGTAAGAGAATATCATGTTTATCAGTCTGATCGTGAAATCCATAGAGGAGGTGGAGTTGTTATATTCTATAAAAAGTCTCTAAATCTAAAAAAGATTCAAAGTATACAAGAGCTTGCTCTTCCCGAGACCATCGTCTGTGAACTGTCCTTAAATACACCAATCCGCTTCTTACTATGCTATCAAACCCCTGACTATGATATAATTCATGCAAACAAGCTAACTTCACTCATCTGGGTTTCTGGCATCTTTCCAACTGTGTGTTTTTTGTTGGCCTTTCAAGTCTGCAATTCCTTATCCTGACCAGTCAAGTTAATTGTTGCAGTGTGGTTTGTGTGGATTTTTATTTACAGTTTATATGTACTTTGTTTTCGGACTGAATTTCCTCTACTTAAAGACTGTTTTTTCTCCAGCCAAAGGTAACCTGGACATTGGGGGCAAAGTTGGAGGTATTAAAGGGACTCTTCTTACTTATGTGACTGTATTGCCTTTGTGCCTAATCGCAATGATCGGAGCTCTCCAACGAAAGAGCACAGACCATAGCTGTGGACAGTCACGATCTACGGTCCGTCAGCGAGGAGGGCTCAACCTGGGGCCTAAAATTAAAATCTTATGGCATTTCTGGATCCCTTCATAAGTTGATTACTGCCTTCCTGTCAAACAGGCAACAAATAGTAAAAATAGGAAACGCCCTATCAAACCCTGCACTAGTTAACAGCGGTGTCCGCCAAGGGAGCATTCTAGGACCACACTCTTTACACTTTATCACTCCTTTGTGATCACCTTATAAATAACTGCATCCTCTTCACTGATGATGTAAAACTATTCAACACCAGCGACAATGCTACCATCCTTCAAAGTGACCTTGATTATATGTCTGAATGGTCAAACAGTTGGCAACTCCAAATCTCGACCAACAAATGCTCTGTCCTACACATTGATAAAAAAATCAATACATTAAATACAAGCTAGGTGGATATGACCTCATTGATGACCCACACTCTGTCAAAGACCTTGGAGTTCTCCTATCCAATGACCTAAGAGCCAGAGCTCACTGCAACAACATTGCCAAAAAGGTATTAAGAGTTGTAAATCTAATCTTATGAAGCTTCTCCTCTGGTAATACTGATTTGCAAACTAGGGCACACATAATCTTTGCTAGACCAATACATGAATACAGCTCCGCTGTCTGGAATCTGCACTGTATATTAATTATATTAGTACAATTGAGCGAGTCCAGAAGTATTTTACAAGAAGAGTACTACACTCCTCTGTTCACAACAGAATACCCTACACCAGTGGTTCTTAACGTTGTTGAAATAATCGCCCCCTTGAGCCATTGAGGAAGTTATCATCGCCCCCCCTCCCCCAACATAACCTCTCAATCACAACACAGGGAAATAATTCTTCAATTTATGCAAACACATTTTTTATTTTCTTTAAAATTGTCATCAGGACATATTGATGCAAATAATTTATTTCCAGTCTTTTTCCCATATCTCAACTGTGTGAAAATTTTTGATGCCACCCATCACTTTACTCCCAAACTTCGTGATATAAGTATTTCATTATTATCATACTTATTCAAGACACTTAAATGCAATGACCACTGAAAACAAAATTCAATTGCAAGAAAATGAAATGACCAAAACACCCAGTAACATTTAATGATTTAATTACAAGTGAATTTTAAGAAGCAAAAAGACATATAAAAAGGGCATAAGAACAAACCGCAATGCAGAAACTAAGAATTTCAAGACGAAAACTCTGAAACTAAATTAAGATTTGAGGAAAATATATATTCATGCACACTGTAAAAAGGATTAAAAAGACACAAAGAAAATTTTTACAGAACATTTTAAAACACAGTTCGATCCACTAATAGTGAGTGATCTGATGTTTTTGTATGACAGATATACAGCTGTTCACTGTACGAAAAAAGTCTCAAAAGTGTCCCCAAAACTTCTCGCTCCATCGCCCCATATCACCCCCCTTCCATTCCTTTGCCCCCACGTCACCCCTTTTCATTCTATCGCCTCCCTGAAAAAAAAAATCACCCCCTGGGGGGCGATGTCACCTAGGTTAAGAACCACTGCCCTACACCACCAGACTTGAGATTCTAGGCTTAGACAACCTTGAATTAGGCTGGCTAAGACTGGACTTAAGCATAGTACATAAAATCATATGTTACAATTCCTTACCAGTTAATGAATATTTCAGCTTTAACTACAACAACACAAGAGCACATAACAGATATAAACCACTCCAAACTTGATTGCAGGAAGTACGATTTCAGCAACAGAGTGGTCAATGTCTGGAACTCACTACCTGATTCTGTTGTCACATGCTCAAACTCCTTTACCCTCAAACTAACCTCTATTGACCTCACCCCGTTCCTAAGAGGTCTGTAAGGGGCATGCATAAGTGCACAATCGTGCCTACCGTCTCTGTCCTATTGTCCCCAATTATTAGTTCTTATTTCATGTATTTAAACTTATGTTTATTCTTATTTCTAGTATATTGTAAGCATTTGACAAAATAAATAAATTAATAATAATAATATCACATAGAGCTCAGTTTTTTCATATTTAGGATTCTAGTCAATGAAGGAACTGAGGAATCTTTGTTTATTGAGATAAGTTATATCTCCCATTCAGGAGATTAAGATGGTATGTATAACATCCCTCAGTGGTGTGGTGGCCTAGAGGTGGAGCTCTCGTGTCACAATCGGGAGGCTGTGAGTTTGATCCTAGTAGAGGCAGATATTTCTCTCTGGGCACACTGGGAATATATCTGCTGAAAAAAACTCCTCATTGGCAACAGGAAGGGCATCCAGTCAGTCAAACTCAGCTCCATTCAGTTGCCCAGACTTCACCCTGTAAGGGATTATGGGGTCATGAAAAGGTCATGCTGATGTATAGCATTCCTCCTTTTCCACAAGAACTGTGTGCAGGTATTACCCATTACCCAAATTTTCATGGTTGAAGGAGGGCTAGTGCAAGATCTTAACTAATACCTCCTGAATCCAGATGGCTATGCAAGTTTCCAATGAATGATGATTCCCTTGCATTTGTTATTCTATGGACTTCATATTCAACTTCATATTCAACTTCACATTCAACTGTTTTGTCAACAGTTTTTTTATAAGCTGTTTTCAATTAATGTTAAAAAGTATTACTTGTTCACAGTAAGCAACTACGTATCAATAGTTATAATACAAAATTGAATCTAATCATCTGTAGCACACATTTCTTCTTCTTCTTTTTCTTCAGCGTTTGTCTCGCGCTCTGGCGAAGTCCGCTAATGTCCTTGAGTACTGCTTCCACGCCTCTCTGTCTGCCACGTATGTCGGGTCTGCCTTCGCGATCTCTAGATCGGCCTTGATCGTGTCCATCCAGCGTTGCTTAGGTCTACCACGCGGTCTCGCTCCTCCGACAATCACCTTCATCGCAGATTTGATGATGGATTCTTCCTTGGCGCGACTCACATGGCCGAACCATCGTAGCCGGGACTGCCTCATGACCGTGGGGATGGGCACAACGTTGAACCGTCTACGCACTTCTTCGTTCCTGACGCGATCGAGTAGGGTGAGGCCTACCGACCATCGGAGCATTCGCATCTCCATTGTCTGGAGTCTGCTTTCGACTTCTTTGGTCGTCGGCCAGCACTCTGCGCCGTATATGGCCACGGGGCGCACCACAGAGTTATAGATTTTCGCCTTCAGGTGCATCGGCATCTTCTTGTCACAGAGGACGCCCGTGACGGACTTCCATTTGCCCCACGCTGCGTTGATCCTGGCTGCCACCTCAGTTTGTAGTAGGCCTTCTTCCCCAAGAGTAGTTCCCAGGTACTTGAAGGTGGAGGCGCGCGGTAGCTCCTGCCCGTTCACGTGGATGGAGCCTGTCGTTTCGTTGTCAGTGGTCAGGTATTCGGACTTCTTTAGGTTCAACCGGAGCCCGAACTGCTCGAGGCGGTCGTGCCACTGTTGGACTAGGTGCTCGAGTTCAGCCTTGCGCAGGTTGGCCAGGAACACATCATCGGCGTAGAGCAGCGTCCATGGGGCGGGCGTGTACAGGTCGTGTGTAATTGTGTCCATCACCAGAATGAACAGCAGTGGTGAGAGAGCAGAGCCCTGGTGTACGCCGACGGTGATATTGAACTCCTCTGATATCCCAGCTGCCGCTTTTACACGGCTTTTGTGACATCTGTATAGGAGTTGGACCCATTGTACGAGCAGCTCGGGCACGCCGTGATCTCGCAGTGCGTACCAGATGAGATCGTGCGGGACTCGGTCGAAGGCCTTTTCCAAGTCCAAGAAGGCGGTGTGGAGCGGGATTTTCTTCTCTCTGTGAGCCTCCATCAGCATCCGCACACCGAAGATGGCATCGGTGGTGCCGCAGTTCTTGATGAATCCGGCCTGGTTGACGCTGATGTCGACGATGTCCCGAATGCGCTTATCGAGGACGCGTTCGAAGATCTTCATAGTGTGTGACAGTAACCTGACCGGTCTGTAGTTGGAGCAGTCCGCTGGGCTGCCCTTTCCCTTCCAGATCGGAACAGTGGTGCTGCGGTACCAGTCGTGTGGCACTATTCCCGTGGAGACGATGTTGTAGCACACATTTAATTTCTGTAGCACACATTTAATTTCTTTAAATACAGAGCATAAATTACTTTGATGTTATTTTTGTAACATTTGCAGCATAAAGCTAGGGCAGTAATGAATGCTCTGATGAAAAGGTAAACTACTATTTTTTTTAATATCCTTCCATCTGTATAACAAGAATAAATTGGAATTATTACATCTTCCATCAGCCTTTAATTATGCCTGCTTGATTGAACTCTTGAATGCTGTTAACATAGTTACTAGATACAGGAAGCCATCACAAATCCCATCCTGTATTTTGCTTTCTGGGCTTTATTTAATTGAGTTTCGTTTCACAGAGGAGAAAAAAAATCTGTAGCTGTTGGGAACTGTTTTTAGCAATATCTACAGAGCTACAGACCTGAAAATGTTATGTTATCAACCATGATTTTAGATGCAAAAATGCAGAGTTCTTTGTTAATAATATTGCCAGAATAGCAAGACAGAAGGACTGAACTTAAATATAGGATTTTATTGCCACATTCTGTTAACCAAAAGTCCATAAACCTATTATCTTACTTCATTTTTCCTTTGCTTTAGAGACCTGTTTAGATTGTAAGTGCAAGGATACTGTCTAGATACCTCAAATGGTTAAGCTACATTATTAAGAGAAAAATTATTATCATTGTTCAGATTGTTGCTTAGAAACTAGCTTTCAGTTATGTGTTAATTTAAGAAACATGGAACATTTGTTCAATAAGGTTTGTTTGATAAGGTATTGATAAATATTGCTGTACTTGCATTTCATACCATATCATATCATACACAACAATGCTGTATGACTACTATTTTCAGAAGCCCTCAAAATAGATCAGTTTAAGGTCTTCCAATTTTTTAATTTTGTTTCTGGCAGAGTAGGCAGTAAACTTAACAGATTTTTAAAAATGATAAAGCCTTCAACCATTTAAACTAAAGGCAATTTCTTTCAATCAATTGTTTTAAATTCAACTTGTTTTCTATCAAAATGCAAATAAACAAATTGTATATAGTATGAATCTTGTTAGAATCATTAGTATCTTCTGCAAGACAAAAAATATTGTTGCAGAACCCTTGAAGGTAGGTGTGGGCTTCAAATAATTTAACAACCAGTTCTCCGCCCAGTTGCTGGGTGGGCATTGGTGTGGCCATGGTGGGCATGGCCTAGTCATCCTCCTGCACCACTCTGGGAGCGAAAATGGGCCGCAAGGGGCTGTTTTTATCCTTTCTGCGCTCTGGAGGCTCTCTGGAGGCTGGAAACTTCTGGAACTTTTGGGAGACCTATTTTTTGCCCTCCCCAGGCTCCGGAGCCTCTCTGGAGGCTGGAAGCAGGCCCATTTCCAGTCTTCCGGAACTTCTGGGGGACCCATTCTTCACCCTCCCCGACCTTCCGCACGGGCCCTGCACTTACCTGCGATCCAAAACGGGCTGCGTGGGGACTCCTGGGAGGGGTGGGGTGGGTGGAGCCAAACTGGCCATAAAATTAACAACAGGTTCGCCCAAATCAGTGAGAATCGGTAGCAGCCCAGTGAGCTTGAGAATGTCAAATTTGATTTTTTTGTGTTAAGGTCTTGGGATCTAAGAGCCGACCAGCAGTGAAGCTAACCAGATGTGGCTGATGCAATAAGAATGAATCAGCATAGCATGGGTAGTTCCCTTTAAGACTGCGGATGGGTTCCATCTCTTCAAGGTGTTTATATAAAGGCAGCCATTAGAGGGCGTGTCCTCTCTCGTGTCTGGTATTCATTGCAGAGTTTTTTGTGTAGAGTGAAGAAAATCGATTGTAAGGTATTTGCCTACCACATATATTTCTGTATATGTCTTGTATATAAACCACTGTTAAATGTCTAAATCTCTGTGCGCTGTGTTTTGCTCTTGGGTTGTCTCATAATGGTAGTCACGCTGCAAACACTCTGACAGGTTATGGGCCCAGTACAGAGAGAAGGTCAGAGTGACTGGAAAGCCTAGAGAGAAGAGAAACTCAGTGGGAGCTTGCACCAGAGTAAGTGATTTAAATTGTGGTTAGTGGCTTGTGGAAGATACCAGGCAGCATGGCCTCCGTCAGCATAATGGGAGGAAGTTTGCTGGTGTCTCAGTTGAATGAGACAAACTATCTCTCCTGGAATGTGAAGATGGAGATATACCTGCAGAAGGAGGAGTTGTGGATGATTGTTGCTGATCCACTGGAAGTCTTGGATGATGGGGATCAGAGGAAAAACAAAAAGGCATTAGCCAGCATAATTTTGGCTTTGGAGGACAGTCAGCTGATACACATAAGGGGTCTCCAGTCTGCGAAGGAGTGCTGGGAGGCGTTGCACAGTGTGCATGTGAAACTGCAGGCAGTAAAGTGTTGCTGACTAGAAGACTGTATAAGGCACAGCTGAAGCCAGGGGAGAGCATGTCCACATATCAGCAGAATATGAGAAGGACATTCCTTGAGTTGGAAGAAAGAGGAGTGACATTTACAGAGGCACACAAGGTATATGTGGTACTCAGCTCCTTGGACAGTTCATGGGACATTCTTGTGACTAGTCTGGAGTCTATGCCAGGATTTAACCATGGCATATTTAACTGGTTGGTTGTTAGAGGAGGAGCAGAAATGGCTGGAGAGGAAACCTGGAAACAGAGGAGAGAGTGTTCAGCACAGATCAGCATCTACAAAAGTCCAGAATGGTAGCAGAGCAGCTGAGACAGTGAACTTTGTGAAGAGATGCTACATGTGTGGTTTACTGAGCATCTCCAGAGACGCTGCCCTGAGGGGTGAAACAGAGGAGCAGCGATACAAGGGTGCAGGACTAATCAGCACATGTAGAGCGGTTCTCCAGCATTGTTTTCCCTGGCAGGAATACATGGTTGTTGGACAGTGGGGCGAGCCAGCATATTGCTAACAATCCACAAGCGTTTTCTGGTTTGAAACCAGCAATGCAAACATGGGTTAGTCTGGCCAATGGACAAAGAGCTTCTGTAAAAGGGGAAGATAATGTTTATGTATCAGAAATAGGTGATATATTGTACAATGCCTTATATGTATCTCCATTAGAGCATAATCTGTTGAGTATATCCAAATTAAACAGGCAGGGTTATGAAATACTATTTGCTGGGGACAGTACACTATTAAGAAGAATAGACAGATACGTGCATGAGGGATTATAATCCCTGTATGATCTGGGAAGGCAGGAGAATAGTTGTGCATGTGTACTTATGAATGTTCTCACGCGTGATAATTGTATACATTTATTACATAGGAGATTGGGCCATGCAAGTTTTGACGTACTTCAGAAAATGCCAGACCTAGCTGAGGGGATTAAGTTAAAGAAATATATATTTAGATTGAGATGTTTGTAAGGACTCCAAATCCAAAGTGTATCCTGTAGGTAAGTCAACCTATTTTCCAAAGCACCTGTAGGCCAGATAAGGAATAATGGATGGAAACTGAACAAGGAGAGATTCAACCTGGAAATAAGGAAAAGTTTTCTGACAGTGAGAACAATTAACCCATGGAACAGTTTGCCTTCAGAAGTTGTGGGAACTTCATCACTGGAAGCTTTCAAGAAGAGACTGGATTGCTATCTGTCAGAAATGGTGAAGGGTCTGCTTAGGCGGGGGGTTCAACTAGATCAGGAGTCCCCAACCACCGGTCCGCGGACCGGTACCGGTCCGTGGAACAAGTCCTACCGGGCCGCTGGTTTGCTGGGCGCTGCCATCTTTTTTTGATGAAAAAATGCTTCCGGTGAGCTTTTCCGGGTAGAAAGCTCACCGGAAGCACTTTTTCATCAAAAAAAGATGGCGGCGCCCAGCTGATGCCGGTACCGGGCCGCGCCATAAAAAAGGTTGGGGATACCGGGCCGCGGCATAAGAAAGGTTGGGGATCACTGGACTAGATGACCTACAAGGTACCTTCCAACTCTGTTAATCTGTATCTAAGCTTAATTTAAATATAATATGACACATCCCTTTCTATAATTGATGCTTAATTAGTTTTTTTTCTTTAGTAATTGAAATATATTTTACTAGTCTGCAAAATTTATATATTGTACACAAAAGCAGAGCCCACAAAAAATAGGCATTTTAATTGAAAAATTAAAAGATGACACAGTTAGCAAGCCAGTATTTTGACTATGTATGTAATAATTATGAAAGGTTTTTGTAGATTGAAATAGCTTATCTCCTCTTTTCTGACCATTTCAAAATAGAATAAAATTGGAAGTTTCTATAATTTCTCCCATCTCCCTTGGTATGCTCTGAGAGATAAGCAACCTTCTAATAAATTTACTCCGCAAGTTGTCAGTTCACAAATTGCTACTGTTACAGAATAAAATTAGCAACCTTAAGAGGATAATAAGAATTGACAAACTGAATGATTTTTATGGTTATAAAAATTTCCGTAACTCAAAGAGTTTTTTAATTATATCTCATTTTTTCCCCAATACAACATGGCTGACTGGATAGTCTTCATTCATTTCTATGCAACACTGAGTGCGTATGTAGACTAAATTAAACACTTTTGAAACATTAGTTTACTGGATTCTTTTTTAGATGTTCCTATAACATACCACCCAATAGCTAATGGCGAGTTTGGGGGCACAATTGAGATGTTCCCAATCTTTGCTATTGCTATTAATATTTTATTATTTTTATACAGTGGATATTTTGTTTTCCTTATTTTTTTATATTTGTTTTAGTTGATGTAATTGTATTTGCATCTTGAGCTAGGATGTATAAATCAGGGTTGCCAGATCGCAGCTTGGCTCTGCGGCCAAACTCAAGTCAAAATACGGCCAAATTATTTTCTCTCACGGCCAAATTTTTTTATGCAATATAACATGAGGATGTATTGTTTTTTGTCTTTTTAACTGTTTTTAAACACCGTCCTTAGCACTAGTTTTATATAGAAGCTGTGCTTGAAAGATGGAGGGAAGAAAAACAGTTCTGCTCCCGGCACCAGTCGGTTTATTTTAAACCAGATTAGGTAAAGGGATGCTTTAACGAACGAACTGCCCCCTTCACACATCCACTCAGAAAGATACACGTAAGTTCAGCAGCAGGCAGATCCAGCTTAAAGAGGAGGAAGCGGAGTTCACTCTCTAATACTTCGGCTAAAAAAAGAACAATCTGGAGGAGGTCGTCTTCCCGTTTGAGTAAAGCGCACCGAGTACCACGCGAGGGGTGAGTGTAGCGGTGTCACTCCTCCTTCCGCCAACAGCACCGGAGATCAGGCGGGTGCCATGAACAACCGAAACGGGGCCCAAACCCTCAAGGCTGGAGCCGCGATTGGCACACGCGCACAGAGACTGGCACAACCCCCTCTCGAATTGCACCTCCAATTGTACGGGGAGACTGTTCAGGCGCAAGCACTATGGATCCGCACAAGGGACGAGTAGAGGCAGATCGCCCCAGCCACGCAACTCTCCCTGTCACCCATTCCAACCTAAACCGCTTTTTGTGTGTACCTCCACGCGACTTTAGAGATGCCCTCGCTGTCAACTGCCACACTCCTGGCTCAACTTGCCCCATGCTTACCGTTATCCCAGAAGCGTTGGCAGGCGCATGCACGGCTGAGAGAGAAAAAAGGAGGAGGAAGTGGAGGAATCCCCTCAGAGCTCGCTGGAGCAGATGCAGACACAGCCAGCAACCCCCCCCCCCGCACCCGTACCACTGGGCGAAAAAAAGGGGCTGCTCGTCGCAGCAAGGAGCCCGAGAGGCAGGGCCGAAAGAAAAGACGCGAGGGAGGGATACAGCCCAATTCTAACCGTTGAACTTCATTCGCTCTTCAGAACAGAATCTATCCTGTGACAGGTTCTTACATCCGGGTTAACATCCACTTATATTACGCAGCGCTGTTCACAGTCAGAAGGCTTCGGCCTATGTATCGCGTCGTTTTTCAGAGGTTTTCAGATGATCTGACAGTCATTTTCATGCAAATATATTGTATTGAAAACCGGTATTGGGCCAAAATTTCGATTTCACGGCCAAGCAACTTTCATACGGCCAAATATATTTGGCCGGAGACATGATTTTTTTCACGGCCAAACAGATTTCTATACGGCCAGATTTCTCAAATTTGGCCGGAAGAACGGCCAGATGGCAACCCTGGGTCCCAGTACGTGTAACCTGGAAGAACCACGCCGTCCACAACCCCTCCCCACCCACAAAACCGAACTCTTTATTGGTAAAGTCAGCCCGTTTAACGAAAAACTCATACGGAATCCACCAAGGGACAGACGCACTGGTTAGAAAACAGTTTTTTAATTACTCCCAACTTGAAAATTGCTCCTTAAAATACTTAAACCCACACTCACATTCAATTTAAGCGGGCCTACTTCCAAGCTGAGATAGAAATGCACTCGGGGAAGACTTAATATGGAGTCGCCGTTTGCCCTCTTAAGCCAATTCCCTTCGGTTTTTGCTTCTGCCTCCCCGCTCCCTCGGCTTTCCTTACTCCGCTGGCAGCCCCCGACGCGAGGCAACGCTCGCTACCCAGAACCAGGCCAACCCACCGCATCAAGGCCTCCGAGGCTGCACCGCACTGGCGGCGAGCGCACTGCCGCAGCCCAAGGAGCAGGAAGTCCCCGTGGCCCACCGAGCCCGGCCTTGGCTGTCGTCACGTGACGCAGCGCGTGGAGCCGCGCAAGCCGCTTCGCTCGAGTCCCATTTCGGCCGCGGAAGAGGCAAGCGGAGTGGCCGCTGCCGCTGCTGTTATGCTCGCGCCACGGTGGCTGCTCGCCTCCCTCCTCCCCGGCTCGGCGGCCACGGCGGCTTCCGCGGGTGACTTCCTCGCCATCCGTTCCAGGCAGCCCCTCCACGGCGGAAGCGTTTCTGCTCCGGAGACGACGGTAGCAGCGTGAGACCTGTCTTGCCATCGCCGCCTTGCGCGCCTGCCGGCTTCGGATGCTGCTTCTCCTGGCCTGTGGGTGCCGCGGGCGGCGGGACTAATATGCTCACTCGGATGAGGTCTGCCATGGCCAATTTGGTGGGAGGCATCATGTCTGGCGGCTCGGTCTCGGAGGCCGGCGGGGGCTTGGATTTGCCTCCCCGCTTTCCCTACGGCAGACCCGAGTTCCTGGGGCTGTCTCAGGACGAGGTCGAGTGCTCCGCTGATCACATCGCCCGACCCATCCTCATTCTCAACAAGGAGACCAAGCGCTTGCCCTGGACCACGGGATACGCCGAGTGAGTAGCCGCTGGGGATGGGCTGGACCGGGTGGAGGTGTCTGAAGGCAGAGACGCTCCCCTGGGCCCTCGGTTTGCCACGGTAGGGCTTAAGGGAGGCGCCCCGTGCTTGTTGTCTTCCGGGCAGCGAGGACGCTGCAGCAGTACAAGGGGAAAAGGCGACGGCCCGGTCACCGGCTTGGTGGGAAGAGGGCTGGAAGAAAAGGGGGGCGGGGCGGGGCGCTACTTTTCTGAACTAAAGGCAATGCTTAACTTTTCAAATGAGAAGCGCTCAGACCGGCTTGGGGGGAAAAAAATCTTGCAAAAGGTCTAGGAAAACCTGCTGAATATACCAAGCCCATTTACTAAATATCAGGTTCAGTTGAAATTTCCTCCCCGAACAAGTCATAGAGGAGTTATTGTATCTTTGTTTTTCTTTCATTTCTCCTTCAGTGGGTGTGAGGCATAGCTTGGTTTCCATTTAAACACCAGTATCAGTCGCTGCAGTGTTTTCCTGGCTTGCATTCATTCTTAGTTTGAAGCAGGCCCCCTTACCTGTGTGTAGTTTTGCAACCTCGTCATCCAATTCTGTATACTTGCATGGAAGCAAGCTTCATTCTTAAATTCTTAAGAAGCATATGTAATACATTAAAGTGCTTACTTTTGGCATGTAGTAAGTAGGTAGTTTTTGCACATATATGCAAACAAATGTACAACTTATTATAGTAATATTACTAGAATGCTTAAAGAGGAAAAGTACAATAAAGAGAAAAAGTGAATCAAAAATAAAAAAATCTTGCCATTAGACTGTTCATTTTTTATAAAACTCCATCATAGAGTAGTGCTCCCTCCCTCAATGTTTTTGCCTTTGCTTCATTTAGTCCAGCAGTTAGTGTGTGTGCAAGCTCCTGAAGTGTTATGGGTGGATAAGATGTCCTGAGAGTATTGTATGTTTGTAGGATGATTTAGCATAGCTTTGTTTTCTTTCTGTTTTGGTAATGGCAAAGTGGTATTTAGCTAAAACTAGCTTCCAATTCCTTTTCAGGCCTGTGCTGCAATGATGATGTCTAGAGTGTTTGTCATTGATCGCTTTCATTCTCAAAATTTTCCATTTTCCCTGCACACGATCCCCTGTCAGTGTGGAAGATGTCCTCCAAAAGTGGAATGAAGGAGACTACAGCCCTTTGCTGGTTTTCCTTTCCCCCATTCTTCACCTTTCGACTACATGTCTTTTAAAATTATTACTTCAACTGATTATAACCTTTCCTTAAAATTAAAGTTCTAAGACAGTTATTACAAGTATAATTGTTTTAATATGATGAGAATGAGATGCAGCTTTTCAACTGGTAGCAAATAGAATAGAATAGAATGGTAGCAAATGCCTTGAAAGTCTTGGTTATATTTCTGGGGCTTTAGAGATTTCTGAAAGTTTAATCAAGGAAAGATGATGGGGAAAACACAGACTTTTGAATTTTATGGTTACCAAATCTAATCCATTTGATATACTGTATGTGCGTGGTGTTTTTGTGTTGAAAATTTGGAGTGCTAAATTAGTAGAAAAGATCATACTTTCTCAGTGGCTGGTACAAGAGTAACATAATTTGTAATAAAATATAGTAACCAATTTTTCTCTGACTATAACAGTGCAGAATGAAAAGTTCAAGAACTTTTCAAGCACATTCTTTTAAACATTTCTTATATTGGAGTGTTAATATAGTTTTAGAGGCTTACCTTCAAAGATCACCAATTATTGGCTAACTTGAGGCAGAGTGCTCCTTCTTATCACAGACAAAGCTGTTCAAGATGTTTGACAGAGAAAAAAAAAGTACAGGCTGATGTGAGGGTATTTTTATGATGGGATCTGATTGTCCATTCAGTGGAAAATGTTCTTCATTCATGTCCTTGCCACATATGCAAGGAATGGCTTTATTTTACCCAGTGAATGATAGCTCTTGAAATTGTATTAATGGGTATTGGTCTTTTGAGTGATTACTTCAGGTATTTGGCTAAACAATCAGAGCTAAGAAATAACTAATTTTGCCCCTTTACTCTTTCTTACTTGCATATTCAGGCATCTGAAAGAGTTCTGTCCGTATTGACCATTTGAGGACAGAACTCCTTGTAAGTCTGTTTTATTGGAATCCCATATTGTGCAGACTTATGTTCAGTGAGTGTTCCTTTTGAACTTATTTCTTTGCATATTATAACAGACTGCAATAGAAACTTGGAAAATGGAAACATTTCCTCTATATTTACTCAAGAATAAACACAGACTCCTGAATATATGTAATAAGCTAACTCTATATCCAGAGAACCATTGTTCAGAAAACTTAATGCACATAATCACCATAATTCCATGGGTGAAAAGCCATGTTCATTATTGTCTGCAAATGCATCCATTTTGTCTATTACTGCTTTATTGTTGCTCCTCACAGGGACTGTTAAGCAAACTCCCTTGTGACTCACAACACAGCTTTTAAGAGAGATGATTTTCTACTGTATTGTATCCTTTGTATTACTGTCAACTTACATTTTTAATAGCCTTATAATTTGAGGGCTATTAATAGTTGTATCTATTTTACGCAGTCTCCTACTCAGCAATTACAGTAAATGGAAGTTCTGCTCTTTCTTCATCTTAAAGTGAATTATTTAAAAATTGGCAACATTTATTTTGATTGCACAGCTGTTTGATAAAACTACCCAAAGATTTCTAGTTTTTTGTTTTGTTTTGTGCGTTCCACTGTAATTTTCTGGCATTTTCGGTCTATTCTTTTCACATTTATTGTCCACAGAAGACAAAAATGTTTAATTCTCTTATTACTCATGTCCATTTCTCATTCAACAGCAATCAGAGAGCTGCAGGGGAACCCTAGAACTTTACCACGTTCTATCATTATAATGAAATTTTTGTCTTGGAGATGAGCCTCAGTTTTTTTTTTTTTTGTAGACAGATGAATTGAGTTCTGTCAAGCTTTGACAATTTGCCTGCCTGTAATGAAAAAATATAGTTAAGTTTATTTTTATTCTAAAGATAATGTTTAATCAGATTTTATGCCAAAGTCAAAACTGTTTTTTCCAAGCCTGGCTTGTTCTGCTTGTTCTTTTTATTTACACATGGCATCTATATTTGAAATAGCCATTATACAAAATTCCAGAACAAATGCTTATTAATAGCTTTGTATCCTTGATGTATGGTTGAGGATTAATGTATTATTTCATAAGTATGTTTGTATTGAGTATTAAGATAAGCATAGCCCTGGAGTTTGAGGGTTTCCTAACCACACCTGGGTACTCTCTGGAGATTGCCCAAGTTAAAAAAAAAATACCTTTGCTTTGAATGTTTTGGGTTATTATAATATCTATGTTTCATTAAAGTCAGGGAGATCTTGTTACACAGAATTAAATTAAAAGTCAGCTAGTGTTTAGGTTAAAATGTATTTTATTTATTTATTTGTATCCTGCTTTTATTATTTTTACAAATAACTCAAGGTGGTGAACATATCCAACACATCTTCCTCCTCCTATTTTCTCTGCAACAACTACCTGTGACGTGGGTTGGGCTGTGAGAGTGACTGGCCCAAAGTCACCCACGAGAGGTATACATGAAAATGTATATCTTTTTAGAGTCTGCATTGCTTGTATGGTATGTACAAATATAAACTGCCAGTTCTGTAACAAAGAGAGATGTAAGTGGATAAATATTGTTACAGAAAAAAAGTCAATTGCTCTCATTCAAAGACATAAAATTTTAAAGCTACATTTCAACATGTAGTCAATATAAGTATATTAATGAATTTATCATTAATATTTTTGTGGAAGTACAACCCCTATTGTATTTAATGCCTCCTCAGGTGTAAATTTCATTCGGTACTAGTAGGATTATACTCTAATATTAATATCCTTCTGTTACAATCACAATAATTTAGAAGAATCAGAAGAAATATCAGAAGAAGAATAACTCAACCATTCTTAAGTTTTTCTAGAATCTAGACTGTCTATTGTCAAACTCTGATTCTCAGCTGCTGCTTAGCTGCAATTCCCATTATTGACTGTATTGGTTGTGGGTGATAAGAAATGTATCCAACCCCATCCTGAGAATGTTGTTTGGACTATGAAGCTCTTAATTGTGCTTTTTCATGTGTCATCTTTTCTCCATCATCAAATGCACCTAATTTCTCTGCATTTTATTTTTAAGCTGTAGAAGGCAGCTGGATTGTTTGCTTTCCCATAGATAACAATAGAAAGGAATCAATCGTTTAATCACGTTTGCTGACATACCAGAAATGTGAACTTGTGACATATTGGGCAGCTCTTTTTTAAATGCAGAAGATCTAGCCGGTTTTTTCCACCATATTTTCTGAGGCTGAAAACTTTATAATGTCATTGAAATTAGGGGTGACTTATTTCCAGGGGAATTCATGGGCAAGTGCATTCTGTTTCCAGGAGGTGATGTTTTGATTAGGACTATTAAGACACGGCTACTTTGTTGCGTTAAGCAGGAGGGCTAATACCTGCCCCCTGTTCTTTGTTTTTGTTTTTAATACTGGTGTTTAAACTGGCTTTAACTGTAAATATTTTAAAAATTGTTTTTGTTTGTGTGTTTTTAAAGGTTTGTTTAGTAGTCCACTGAGGGGAATGGGGTATGCTTTGTACCAAGCTGAACTGAACTGTGAATTGTTCGCATATGGCTAGATCTTCCATCTGTTATGTAAGTGCAGTTGGCGAATTCGGCGCACTCAGAACGGCTTTTAATTGGCTATTTTCCAAAAACCAATTTAGTGCTTATCACTAAGGGTAGGACTAGAAGTAATCAATAGTAAATTGTATGTAAATTGTATGTAAATCTATAATTGTAAATCATAGGCAGAGGGATGCAGCTTCCTTAAAAGTATTGCATTTTAAGAATGGGCAGTAAGAGATTCAGCCGTATAATGTAGTGTTTATATAAAACTGATCCTTACAATGGATGACTGTTTGCTAAGAACCTGTTTGACCGAATAGCTTCCTTAGTAAGGATTCTT